CCCTCTAAATCATTTCACCATACCGTCTATCTTACGAATGATCAATATCGACTTATGGACATGATGATGGGCGAGAAATTCGAATGAAAAACCCTGTGCTGACTTCAGTACGCTATCAGCAGGTTAAAGCGAATCGCGACCGTAATACATAAAAAGACCAGAACATCATGTTGCACATTACTCACATGTCAACGACTTGTTATCCGTTACTCTGGTGACGGCACTGAAGCACAACAGACTGAATCTTTGTTCAAGTGAATTAGTAAACAATGAGAAAATTTCGCACCGTACCGGATGCACCGAATCGCTAAAGGAAAAAGCGAACAGTCGGAAAATAATTTCAGCACAAGATACACTTGATGCTTCAGAAATGCACATATCGTTCAAACTTTGACATTATGCTGACATGTCTGAACTCAGAACGAAGACATTTATCAATATTATCTGGCATGTGAGTTTTAGGCCTTTGAAGCTACGTACAGTCGGAAGGCACAAAAAATGAAAGGAAAAACGTCATCATCTGTTCATAGAGGAATGAACAACATGACTGTCCAAATCATAGATACTTAACAAGCAGAATCGTTCACGTCTCGGCAATTCAAGGGCACAAGTATAAAGTAATTGTTCCATTTCTTGAAATTCCATCACTCTATTTTGGACGATAAAACTGATGACGATAGATTTCATAAATTATGATTTAAAAAAATCTACCCATCTAGAGGTGCAAAAAGTAGATACGCAAAAACGCATGCCAAATAATGACTAACTGAAGAAAGCAAAACAAAATTTTTAAAAGCTTGAACACAAACTATCCTCGTTAAAACGAGATGAAGGTCATAAAAAATAAATAAAATGCATAAATATACGAGGTAAGAGACAAAAAACATCTTTGCCCACCTTGTAGAAACATCTTCGTTGGAGGTGTTTCCGTTACTACCTGTGCACCGCTGGTTTTCGCCATTTCTTTGAAGCGTTTCTTTCGGTATTTTGACGGCACCTCCTGCTTGCACAACGGAGTTGATGGAACAAGTTCTTTAAAAGTTTTATCTACAAAAAAATATCAGCAAGGAGCTGATCATGGCCATCTCGAAATGCTATTTACTAGACAATCTTAAGAACACAATATGATGCTAAAAATGTCAGTGCAAACAGTATTAAAACAGTTGAATAAAATCAATCATCTAAATAAAATTAACTCAATTCAAAACAATAGTCAAACATGGTAACGAAATAGCATGACTTTTGGTATTACCACCGTTGAAATATCTTAAAAGTTTGCAACAATCAGGGGACAACGCACAGAAGCTAAAATTCATAGAACAGAAAGCCGCAAGAACAGCTGATCTATGGATAACTAATCTCCTGACTGCGGGAAGAGTATAATTCGTGGAATTTTTTCGCTCGCAATGGAATATGATCAAGAGCACATTGAAGAATAACCGTCGAAATTTTCTGACAAAAAAGGTGCACGGTCCTCCGTCAAAAATCAGAGGTAAAACTGCAAATTATAACGGCCGCCGGAAACATCTCATGCTCTTGGTTTTTCTACAAAAGGATTAATTACAGGTCGTAAAAAGCAGTATATGACATCACGATCTCTGCAATAGTAAATGTCACTACTTTATCCCTGGTGGAAGGCGAAAAGTAGATGACCTACTATGAGATTCGCAGTCAAGGTTTTTGGCTGCAAAACTGGCGTTAATGTGACTAGTCCATCAAGCACCGTTTTTAAACAGCCTGGTGATAACTTGCAAGTTTCGTCAGACAGTACTGGAGTTATGTTAGTTAATCAAAGACATAGTACCAATTACAAGGCGTGTTAGATGTTTCTGGAGAAATCATTTAAGCAACATCTAAAACTAAACAAACACTCTGCCTGTTCGCAAATGTTACAAGTTTGGTTCTCAGAACTTAGGGTCTTGATGCATTTCCTTCGAATTCACACGTCATGGTCACTTCTGAACACCAGAGGCCGTCTTGAATAAATCACGGCTATCATTTCGATATCTTCGCATACTTTTGCTTCCCCTGACTGGAACAACCAGATCATGTCAAGTACATCAGTTACTGTAATGGTGAAACACTAAAGCAAGTTTCTAAATTCGTGTAAATATAGAATGATGAAAAACAGCCTTGTTTTGATCGTATCTAAGCCAGACGTAAGTGCATCATATTTACTAAAATTTAACTTTTCATTTATTTTTATACTAAATTTTACCTTTAGGTGTAGTACAGCATCGCCTTTTTGGAGACAACTTGATGACCATGCTTGTGTCCCTGACACCAAGTTGACCGTCGCTCCTTCTACGCAC